GCTCTTACCGGAGCGCCTCGGCCTCCGCCTCTAGTGTCGCTATGCGTCCTTGCGCTATAGCGAGGGCGCCGGAGGCGGGGTCTATTCTCCTCACCATCTCTGTTGCGCTCACAGTGATAGTCCTCGCCGCTTCCTTCAACGTTTTCTCCTGCGTACCCTTGAGGTTGCGCGATGTCTCGGCAACCTTGGTCACCTCGGCGGTCCGACGGATCAGACGGATCAGACGCATCTCTTTGGCTAGGTCCTCTTCCTCCGTCGTTTCTTCAATCTGTGGGTTCTCCGTGTCCAGTGTGGGGTGGGAGGGCCCCTCTTTTGGCAGGGCCGCCCTCGTCATGCTCCTGGTGCTGACGTGTGACGGCTCAGCAACCAGCTCCACTTCGCCCCCTCCTCTGACGATTCCCCCTACCTCCTTATCTTTCGCCACTGTTGCGTCTTTTTTTCGCCATTGGGCGCAAATATGGCCGCTTTCTCCGTACTTGCTGTTCCACCAGCCGCTGTCGCTTTCGAATGGCCAGCGGCACGCTATGACGCACGTGCCAATATGGCTGCGTCTGTGTAGTTGCTCGGGTAGCGCGTGTGGCGACGCTGTTGTCACGCGTCCCAATATGGCTACCCCACCGTCATAACCTTGCACTCGGTTTACCTCCGCCCTTAGCGGCTTTCCACACCAGATTTCATGGGTTCCTACACGCGCTTTGCTTTCACGGGCGCTAGTCCTTCACTCTGGTTACTTTCCTTGCCTGAATTATCCGGGTTTCCGGAGATTTCGAATACGCTCACGGCTCCGTCCTCCCTACGTCTGCTCTACTACACAGTCACCACGAAACCCCTAGGACTCCACCTAGAAACACAACTCACATGGAAACAGCATACTAAATCGATAACAGACAGAATACAGACAACGAGAACACAAATGCATTGGCTAACAAGTCGAAAATCCAAATTAAGCATAGACAATAAATTAAAAATATACAAAACGATCATAAAACCAATCTGGACGTACGGAATACCACTATGGGGGGACAGCAGCAATGAACCATATAAACAAAATAGAGACAGTACAAGCTAAAATTCTTAGAACAGTAGTAAACACCCCATGGTACGAAACGAGGATATACGGAAGGACATGGGAATACCAACGGTCGAAGAGGAAATTAGCAGACACGCAGGAAAATATAAAGAAAGAATAGGAACACACCCAAACCGGCTAGCTGTGGAAACGATCAACACCTCAAACATGGAAAGAAGACTGAAAAGCAAACACCCAGCAGACCTCACAAAGGACACAACCTAGCAAACACGAACATGGTGTCCCACTGGGGGTAGCCACCAACATGATAATCTAACAGCTAAAAAATTCTACCAAACGTCCAAGCTGGACAATTTGTGAATGTAAACAAGTAAATAAAAAAAAAGAAAGGAAAAAAAAATTTGGGATTTTTACTTTTCTCAAGCACTGATGCTGAGATGTAGTTGTTGTCCGTGATACTTGTAGCGCTGGCTGTAGATGTCGCTGCTGAGGTACTGCTATTTTTCTTCTAATTTAGATGCGTGGAAGAAAAATAGGACACGGACACCGGGATTCGAACCCGGGTCTCGAACTTTCGTAACCTAAGGCGCTAACCACTGCCCTACCATGGTCCGGTTGTAGTTACTGTCGAGTGACGGTATTTGTTGTCGAGTGCCGCCACAAAGCCATAGACAAAAGACTGCGACGAAGTCAGGCCATAAACAGTAGACAGGCGACGTTGGCTTCGGGATTTTTAGTTATTGGGTAACACAGCTAGCGTGCGGATCTGGACCAACTCAAATTGTATTCTTACTTATAATTACACTTCTGCATTAAAATATATTTTCTACCTTACAATTCATCCACGAGTTTCTCTGTTTATACATCAAATAACCTCAACAATAATAAACATTTTTACAGCCCATCGATACTAACGCGCAATACGCTGCCATGGGCACACAACTATGGATTGAGTTCATTCTACCGATCATTTTTTGCGAATATCTCGGAAACTAAGCGAGACCGTCGATTACGTATTTAGGAAAAATCGGAGGTGAAGTAGCTTTTTTGCAGTTTGACAATTCAGTCTTTTCTTTGAGGTATATTATAATTTACGACCGACCTATTTCAATATTGCCACGTGAATGTTTTAAGTGAAATTTCCATAGGAAATGAATTTCTACCACATTTTCGAGATTTTCTACAACTGCGGAACATCAGCGTGTGAGCAGCACATTTCTTCTGACAGCAGTCTCCTGTAATGGTTGCAGATCCTGCAACTGGATCCGCATACAAGTAGCTGTGGTCACGACAGAATAACTATAGCGCGTTGTTTGAACGTACCTCAACTTTGTGCTTATGAAAACCGTACCTGGTAAGGCTTCGCGCCAGATACAGATACGTGAAGAAAATAATAACGTATTTGCTATCGTAATCTAAAATCTCCCAAAAGTTTTCTATCTTATTCGGGATACCATTTTGTTAACTTATTTTCATCTCGACACAAGTTATAGATTAACTTAGGTATCATTTTTAAAAAATTATAGATTGTGGCTACTAAGTATAAAATATAATATGAATGAACAATAATTTTTTATGAATATACTAGGAAACTGATAAGAATATGATTAGGAATATATATGTATATATACTAACAATTACTCACATTTTATTGACAAGTGTCCAAAAAGTTCGCAAGCTGCCAGATTGAACGCATGAATATCTTTTGCACCTTGAGTAGATTTTCTAGCCCAAATATAAATTCTTACGTCTCTGTACTCCTCTTTATTTTCTTTAATATTTGATTTACCTCTCGTAATATATATATTGTGTGCTATTTGTTTATTTTGCAAATAGTCTATTATCAAAAATGCCCAATTAACAATGTCATCCATATTCTGGACATTGAAATACTTTATACAAAATCCTTTTACTGGGTAGTTTCTTAATATTTGTATAGGCCCTGCATGTTCTTCAAGATCCTGAAAAATAGTATTAGTGTAGATAATAGTGTAATAATAATGTTATACAATAACAAATATTAGTGTTAACGAAATTATATTGAAAAGAAAATTACAAAACTTGCAATAAGTAAGTAAAGAATTTAGCCTTTTATCCATCAGTAACATATGATAATTGTTATTTAGATTTTCCGGCATCTATTTGAAGAAGGTTTAATATCTGATGGACATTACAATTAGTTACACTAACACGTGACATTATATATCAATAACGTAACGATATATCAATTGTTAATCATCTTCACCATTAAAATGTAATTAAGAAAAGTGAAAGATAAAATGATTGTTTTATATTGTTCTCGTTAATGATATTAATTAGATTAAGTTGCATTTTTCTGTTAAAACTATCAACATGTGTCAAAAAATATGAGTAGTAAAATGGATTGTAGTAAGAAAGTTTAAAAGAAGATTGTAACGAAACAAATTATGAAACAATATTGTTAAAATTATTACAATTGAAAATCAGTTTACTTTCTGAGAGATTTTCCTAATTACATGTTAGCATGTTTCTATACATCCAAAATAAATACTTGAGCAGATGACTATCTTCTTCTACACCATTTACAATAGGAGGTGCAGCTACAAATTTCTTTTACTTGGGATGATAACTTTGGTCCCACAAATAATTTTTATATCATTAATAACCATATATTTATTACATATTTTCTATTTTTCACAGAGAATGTTACAAATAACGAGTCAGAAGCTTTTATACAATTTGCACATTTTTAGGGATTCAGCTCCCTTATCGCGATAGTCAAACAAACGTAGTAAAGCTGTTGACAAACTTTAATTAAAGTCTTATTTAAACCAAAGTCTTCCGTTGCTGAAGAATCATGATATTACTTCAACATCTCTTGTATTTTCTCTCCTGGTATAACCAGCAACCACGAAGAAGTCAGCCGATTTCCATTTTCAAAATATTAGAACCAAACTTCCAGAATTTCAAGTCTACCAACAATATTTCAGCGACGCGGAAGACTGGCGAAAGTAACAATTTGACTTTAAATTACGCAAAAGCTATTATATTTGCAACAAAAACTTTTATACCACAAACTTACATGGCTACATGACATTATCGAGTGACAGCAATTTCGCTTTATGAGAAGTAATATCCAATGTCATCCATATTCTGGACATTGAAATACTTTATACAAAATCCTTTTACTGGGTAGTTTCTTAATATTTGTATAGGCCCTGCATGTTCTTCAAGATCCTGAAAAATAGTACTAGTGTAGATAATAATGTTATACAATAACAAATATCAGTGTTAACGAAATTATATTGAAAAGAAAATTACAAAAATTGCAATAAGTAAGCAAAGAATTTAGCCTTTTATCCATCAGTAACATATGATAATTGTTATTTAGATTTTCCGGCATCTATTTGAAGAAGGTTTAATATCTGATGGACATTACAATTAGTTACACTAACACGTGACATTATATATCAATAACGTAACGATATATCAATTGTTAATCATCTTCACCATTAAAATGTAATTAAGAAAAGTGAAAGATAAAATGATTGTTTTATATTGTTCTCGTTAATGATATTAATTAGATTAAGTTGCATTTTTCTGTTAAAACTATCAACATATGTCAAAAAATATACTGGATGAGTAGTAAAAATGATTGTAGTAAGAAAGTTTAAAGGAAGATTGTAACGAAACAAATTATGAAATAGTATTGTTAAAATTATTACAATTGAAAATCAGTTTACTTTCTGAGAGATTTTCCTAATTACATGTTAGCATGTTTCTATACATCCAAAATAAATACTTGAGCAGATGACTATCTTCTTCTACACCATTTACAATAGGAGGTGCAGCTACAAATTTCTTTCACTTGGGATGATAAATTTGGTCCCACAAATAATTTTTATATCATTAATAACCATATATTTATTACATATTTTCTATTTTTCACAGAGAATGTTACAAATAACGAGTCAGAAGCTTTTAAACAATTTGTACATTTTTAGGGACTCAGCTCCCTTATCGCGATAGTCAAACAAACGTAGTAAAGCTGTTGA